TGCATTTTAAGAGCCTGAAAATGCGTCAACGAAGTCTAAAACACACGTCGGCACCACCAGAAACCGCCGCTATACTGCTGCTGTTAAGCAAGCATGGGCGCCGCAATTGCTCGATAGCGATGGCAATGAGACTGCCCTGCTTTCGCCACTGCTGCTTTTGAGCCGCAGACGATCCGAAGCTGAAGCTCAGTCGCTCAGTTCATGGTTTTCTTCACCCAGCTGCTGGGTGTAACCACGGAACGATGCCTTCTCCAATTCCGATGCTCATCATTATGTTTGCACTTGGCCAGCGTGGTAACTAATTGGAGCGGCTGTTCGTCCACATTATCAACAAAATCAGCTAGCCGCGAGGGATGGATAATAAGAATGGCATAGAATAATGCAAAAGTCACCACTACACGATCCTTCCCTCCATCTCGGCGTTGTCAGATACTTTTGACGGCGGACAGCTGCTGGTGTTAACATGTTAATGCCACTGTTTGGTTCGTTCACGAAAGCGGTTTTAGGCGCTGTTTCAGCGTACTTTTCACCATGGCCTCGCTAGGCATGCGTGAAAAATGCGTCGCAACAGTGCTGGAAAAAAATGGGAAGCAGCGGACATTTTATGAATTTTGAGAATAAACGTTTCTTTGTTTTGCTAGCTCAGATCAGCTATAATTTTTCGATTTCACTACAACAAAATTTTTGCTTCAATGAAATTTTTTTTCGCACCCCGTCAGTTACGTTGTAGCGGGGTTCGCCTGTATTTCTCTGTTTTGATGTCACCTGAGTGATTGGGGTGATAGTAAGTCCTGTGCAGGGCCTTACTGTTTCGATTGTGCCAATTTGATACCATTCCCCGTTTTTGCTCTGAGCTGCGCCAGAACCATGAAATTTGCTGAAATTGTATCACATTTAGAAGTGTGGCAGCTTGGGCTAGTTGGTATGACATGATGATAGTTATAGCGCGAGAACAGAACGAGGACACAGAGACTCTGTGTCTCTGTGTCGTCGTTCTGTTCTCACGGTATAACTATCGTCATGTATCACACTGTGCCAAAATGCCCGACCAGCCTCAATATTTTCTCATTTGCGCTAATATATTGAGAAATGAAGGCCATGTTGACCACCTGCAGTCAATCAATGCAATCAATCAATCCAGTCAATCAGTTTAAGCACTTAGACCCTAACCCCAAACTACGTTATACCATATATACAATTATTAATCAGGGCACTCGAAATGTGATCAACCAGATTAAGTAAATACGCCGCGCACCCATGGTCTGCTGACTGCAGCAGATACCTGTTGGTGAGATGACGCAACTTCAAGAAAAGAAATGTGTCACTGTAACCAAAAAAGGTTCGCGAAAAATATGAATATCCTTGTCAGCAAACGCGGCTATATGGCATGTTAGAAACTAAAGCTGGAAGCATATGCCGCGCTTTCTGCGCGCGAACAAACTCGACTTGCTGTGAACGGCGGCCTTGCCGGGGACCACGTTGTTTGCCATAGCAACGGCACATAAAGCAGTTTGCTGTCTGGAAGTTGTGTCTTCCCGGTGATATATATTCGGTGCAGTTGCCAAGCCAAGAGGCGCGCATGCTGTTGTAACTTTATTTAGTTTAACAGGCCTCTCAAGCGAGCCGAAAAGTTGTGCCCTAGACATAACCTGATCGTGAAAGATATACAGTAATACCTTGTTATAACGAAGTAGGATATAACAAACTAGTGGATATAACGAAGCAATTGTATTTACCCTTGAAATTCCCTTAGATGCCCATGTATTTAAAACTTCATTTTAACGAAGCAAAAATTTTCTCACAATCGATATAACAAACTATTCTTTGTCTGCAATGAGTATTTACTGATAATTTTGGTATACGTCAATTCAATATCTTAGAGTGTGCGACGGTTTGCGTCTCATCTCGGCTGCGGTAATTCAAAACTCGTGCCTTGTGCTCCCCGGAAGCCGCCTGCGGCCTGCCAACACGCATGTGGGAGCGAGTCTCCCTGCCTCCCCTTTCCTCTGGAACTAATGGACTCGCCCGCGCAGTAACTCCACAAGCATCCACGTCAGCTGGCCTTCCCTCTCCTGTGGAACTAGTTGACCCGCCCGCGCATCTGACCTCCTTCTCCCCTTCAGCTCCGCACCGGGGCCTATCACGCCGTTGATACGGCGGAGATCGTGGCATTTGTCCTTGTCGTTCGCTGTGGAAGAGCAACACGACCTCTATCAGTTTCTGCCGCTAGACACGAGATGGACAACGGCAGCGGCAAACGCATGAACAATCGATCAGAAGTCGGCAATGTTGAAAGCTGTTGAGTCTGGTGTCAAGAAAAAAAAAAGTGGCGAAAGATTTCGGCGATGTCGTTGGGTGTCGCGGGCGACCAGGCCCAGATGTCGTGAGACGTTCTCCTTGACGCTGGCGTTGTGCCTGACTGCGACACTTCATGCATGTATGTCAGTGCCAATGCTGATGTGGCGACAACCGAAGAGTTGTCAGATGCGGAAATTGTGCCGAATGAAAACAAAACAGTGATGTGGAAACAGTGATGAATGTGTCGAAACCCCGGAGCTTAGTGTTGGCGAACCCGACGCCCGCGCAAGTGCTGGATGCGACAGACCTGCTGTGCTGCTTCTTTGGTGCTTACAATGACGGTGAGGATGGACTCAAAATAGCTGCTGCAGCTGAAAAAGCAGTCATCCGCGTGAGGACGAGTCGGCAAAGTCAATAATATTAGGGATTTTTTTCTTCTGAGTGATCTTCTGATTGCTGTTTTTGTGTGCGCTGCAGGCTGCTGTATATTTCTTGGTGTGTACATTCTCTCTTGCTGGCTAATTGCTGCTAGAAATGAATAATGGTTATGGCGAAGTAATTACGACTCCCCCTTCAACATCCTTGTAACGAGGTTTGACTAAAAAAAAGAGGGGGGGAAAGGGGGAGTAGTGGTGTTCAAAAATTTCTTGGCCCTGTTCCAGCTCGGCAAGAATGCTGCTCAAGTGCTCATTCACGCAGCCATCAAACATCCCGTTCATTCACCGTCGCAGCACCTGTTTCCGTTGGGAGAGGATTTCTGAGCCGTTTTCTCTTCAAAAATGGGTTGATGGCTGCGGTGGCTGCATTTCCGATGGAGGTGGAAATGTTGTAGGCCCGTGTGCTCAGATTTGGGTGCACGTTAAAGAACCCCAGGTGGTCGAAATTTCCGGAGCCCTCCACTACGGCGTCTCTCATAATCATATGGTGGTTTTGGGACGTTAAACCCCACAAATCAATCAAAAAAATGGGTTGACGTGACATTCAGTCTCTACATTTCCGTCGCTCTCACAGCGACGGAGCTCCATCATTTATTATATTAGTGCCGGTTCCTCCCCACCGCGTCTGGCGAACAGGAGAAAGTGGGGAAAGCACAAAAGAACGCGGGGGTAGAACGACCGGGTCACTGACACACGACAGCAATGTTGCCAGTTGTGGTGATCAATACAAATTTTTTCAATTACTCATGCGTGTATACACTACATAATTGTAAGTACTAGTGTGATTGCTGCTGTCTGAAAAGGTTAGTGGCAATAATTTGGAGCAGTGTATTGCATTTATGCAGTCTTTAAAGAACTAATAAAACTATAAGCCCCTTATTATAATTTTTTTTTGCCACCCCTACTCCTCAGTTTCATGTCATGGTTGCCAGCTTGGCAGGTCGACATTTGAATTCGGAAAGTTACTCGATTGGATTTGACTGGCGCGTTGAAGGCTAGTATGGGTTTTATCACTGTTTGCCCAGTTGGGCAGTTCAAAATGCAACTTTTAATATAATAACAGTGTCCATGTTCACACACTGCACGACTTCAGTGATGTTGAATGGTTTGTACATATTTTTTTTCTAAACATAAGGTTTCATTTATATACTGCTCCAAATTTGGTATTTGTGATGAAAAATAGATGGTTGTTTCCCCCTTAACATGCTCCAAATTTGGACTTCAGGGCTCGAAAAGGAACATTATGCTGCTTCGAAAATTGCACCAAGTTCTGTAGTGGCTGTCGGATCTGTGCATGTTTTATTTTTTATCTCATTCAATGCTGCTACTGCTGCTGCTGCGTGCCCTTGCTTTCCTGTCTTCATACCAAGAAGGTGGCTGTTGCAGAGTGTTTTCCGTGAACTAAAAATGTATAAAGAAGCTCTGTGCAGGAGGCATTCGAAGTGGGGTATTGAGCAGCCATGGTTGCTCTTGAAATTTCGGATTACTTCAATAGCTGTCAGACATGACAGATTTGAAAAATTTTGCAGCCCAGCTGGATATTTATGGCGAGGTCATTCTATGATTACTGAAGAGTGTTTCCAGGCCTATTTGAAGGGTTGGTTTTTGTGTGAAGGGATGATTACTCATGAATGTTTTCCCAGAACCTTTAGTGCATGAATGCAGTTATCAGAAAACAAGTGTTGCTCTTGAAATTTTCTCCCAACCTCTCTCTTTTAATTTGTTCCTACGATTAAAATTGGTGTGACTGCTTGGAAACATCCACAGTCCACATCATACCAGTGCAGTGTTGGCTCACGCAAGAAACATTACTTTTAGTGGCCAGATTTGCAGCGTCATGATGCAGTTATCACGAAAAAATATATATATATATCGTGTTTCAATCTGGGAGTGCTGTACAGTCATGGTGTCTAAAGAAATAAAACTAGCACTGGTCAAACTTGTAATTTATGAAAGGGAAGTGTGCATTCAAACACTTGTGAACAGATGCAAGGATACCACTGTGCAAGTGGCAAAGGCATTTACCAAGTTGAGCAAAGAGGAGCGGCTGTTTCAAGTGAAAGTGTAGGCTTGCTGCTCCGTGTGTAGGAATAATTTGTGGCTCGAATGTTCATGGAAGCACAGTCTTGTGACTGAGCAGGTTTCTTTGACATTTTAAAGGCGTGTAATAGGGCCCACTCAAGGCACTGGGTTGATACCGATGCCACATTCGAATAAGTTAATGCAGTGACCTGAAGTGGTGCTTTCTTTTTGCTCCTTTCACAGATGCTACGAAATGGCTGCCTGACAATGATTCACTTTAAGATACCCCAAGATGTGGTGAGTATGGTCACTTGCTTGGTTCATTCAAGGGGGAACGAAAAGCAAGAAGTATGCACGCCAGTAATGTTTGAAGATATTTCTGGTTGGTTGTGAACACTATTCAAGGATGCCATCCAGAAGCGGAAGCAAAAAAGAAAGGCAGTTGGCTGGAAAGAAAATACACTTTGCACTGAAACTACCACCCTCGTAGTACCAAAGCAATTCTGGTGATCTGCACGTGTACTAAATGGAGCAGTGATAAAAGTGATCTGGCATAGCACAGTGAACTACATACACTGAACTGTACAGTGGCATAGTACAGTGGCATAGTACAGTGATGAGAGTAAGGAATCAAAATATTACATTAAAAAAAACACATTATAAATTGGGCTTGTTCTGCTTTACAGTTGAACGGAGGCTCATTTAGTTGTCAGTAAGCCTAAAAGACACCATTCACCCACGTGGTTGGCTGCTCTATATATTCCAACAGCTGTGTCTCTTTTGTAACAGACGTTGGATGTTGTAGACAATTGCTTGGAAAGAATAAGTTGTTCTTAAATTTAGACTATTAATGTTGTCTTTAACGAAGGTTCCAACTTTAATTTCTTCATGACCGTTGGCTGCTGATTGAAGTTGCACACATTGGGGAAACAAAGGGAAATGACAGATGCATGGACTCACTGTTTACTCTAACTTGAGCCAACACAGAATGCGTCACTCAGTTGTAAAATGGAGAGAAGTCCTTGCAATAGAAATGCACTGTAAAAAGGCACTTTAACCTTTGCAAGGGCACAAGCATGATTGCACATGTGGACATCTGTTGAGCCAAATGCACAACTGTGAGCATGTGGCGTGCTTTAGTGCTACTCCCAATTGAGAAGTATTGCTTATGATTAGAGCTACGTGAATATAAAATTTTTGGCTGCGAATAAAATTGAACATTTTTCGAATATTTGTATAATATTTTTCCTTTACTTCGAAGCAAAGTTACAGAAAAAAGTTTGCTCAGGATCCCTAAGCACGTTTTTATGAGATAGGAACAGGGATGTGTTTCTTTTGGCTAAGGTTGCGAAGGGCTGGAAAGGAGGTGTTTTCTAATTGTTTTATCAAAAATGAGGCAATGCAGAGGTCGAACTGTATTTATTTACATAATTTGGTGCAAATAATGGGTGGTCTCCACACTTTACACCCAAAAGGAAAAGATGCCATCTTCTCTATTTCACCCCTCTTCTTTTTTTATTCGTTTATTCATGTTACCCTACAGGCCCCAGAGGAGCATTGAGTAGGGGGGGTTACAGAAAAATCACAATGCATAAAGCATAAAAAGAAATATATCAAAGAAAACAAAGAAAATTGTACAATGGAAGGGAGAAGAACAGACACTATAAGCAAATGCAGCAAAATACAAAATGAAAAAAAAATAAAGCAACTTTATACAAAATAAAGAGAACATATAAATTTGCAGTAGCTCACGAAATTCGGCCGGATCTCTCAAAGAAACAATTTCATCCGGAAGGCTATTCCAAACTGCGATGGCGCGTGGCAATGCAGAATTATTGAATGAAGGAGGCTCAATTGATTTGGTGAAAAAGGGAGTGGAATTCGAAGTTGCTAATCTACCTTGTAGACCTCAATCTATAAAAACATGTGAAATTCGGATGCTCAAAATCTTTGTTCGTTTTTTTGCACTTTCTGGTCCAAAACAGCATTATTTGAGACCCCACCTCTGCTGCGTAGGCTCAAACTAGTGCTTTTGTGAGTCGATCCGTGTACAGCTGTAGCAAGGCCCTAAAGGCAGAGTGTGACTGATGCGGTGAAGCATATTAAAAAAAATATGTGAGTGGGCTAATGTAACAGTGCAGTGCATCTCCGTGTTGGAACCAACGTTTTGTTGAGTCAGTACGTTTGTGATTAAGGATAGTTTAAAAGGCAGCTTTGCCACAATGCAAGAGTGTGATGGGATGAAGCATATAAAAAATGTCTGAAGGGGCCACTGCTAATAGACTTTTTTCATAAATGTAAAGCTAGCTTTTCTAATATGCAGTTTGTCTTGCTAATGGCAGCCAGGTTCTTACGAAAATAATGTGTTTGAGCACAGTTTCCTTGCTCTATGTTGGGAAAATGTTGTCTTGGCTTTCTTGATATAGACGCAGGTAATAGACAATCCCCAGCACGTGCAACTAGGATCTCGTTTCCTCTTGAAGCAGCACCGGCGCCGCCATTAGTAGGGTGAATATGCATCGCAGAGAAGCTTACTTGCAGATTAGGAAACTCTTCTATTTGACTTTGAGTGTATTTGCTTTGGGAAGTTCAAAAGCTTCAAATATTAAAATTCCGGTACGAATCGAATTGCACATCAAACAGTATTCGAATAATACCCCTACATATACTGTGTCTACTAGACTGAGGCATAGCCAAAGTGCACTGCGTATAGTTCCTCGCGCACTGTACTCTGCAAATGATAATTTTACAAGGCAAATGCGTGCTAAGAAATTATCTGCATCTTGGTTGGTGTGCACAATCGGGCCAACTTCTGAAAAGGAGAGGCTTCAGTTAAGCGTGTCATAGGGTTCAGCTGCCGAAAATGTGGATGGTGTTCTCTGTGTTTGTATCCACCAAGCAAATTGCATCATTCATATTCAATCAATGGCATATTTTAAATGTCGTTTAGAAGGCTGTAGTTTCCTTTTGCAGTTATTTTCAGTGGCAGTGGGCCCACATCAAAACCAGGTTTCATCAGAAATAGAGAACATGGTATGAGATTCCTCATAAAAGGGATAAGGGCTGCTCCTAGATGATTATGTCTTCTATAAAGTGAATCAACTGTATGTTATTCAGTATATTGGTCTTATAACTAAACCTAGTGCAGTCAAACATGTATATATTGCACTCTCTAAAAAAGTGGAATCATTTAATGTGTTGGATAATTTGATATAGAACTTTTAATGAAATTATTAAATTTGCAATACTTATTTTGGTGCTTAAGTTGGCTTTATGGCATTCCTTTACAATAAGGTAAGGAAGACGCCTTTACAGCAGTATATGTGTGTGTGTTTTTTGGTGGTTTGGAGTTAGAGGTGCGAGTTTATATGTCGTGGAGGCTTATACATAAGAAGATAAGGTATCGGTGTACATTGTTTTTTAACATCTCTATATGCAGCTGTGGTTAATTGTCAGGCATCAGAAGCGTCTAGTCTGCCTTGGTCCTAATATTGGCTTACCTTTTCAGTATCTTATTCAGTGTGCTTTTTGAGGTGCTGTACACAGCGGGAACATAAAGCTTCTTTTCCTCAAGTTCAACTGCATTCATTATCTCCAGCTTTGCACAAAACAGCAGCTTCTTCAGTTTTACGGCATTCATTGAGTTAAAAAACGAGAGGAGATGTCAACGGCGGCCTTACACGATGAGCTGGGGGCGCAGGGATGGCGAATCATGATGGCGGAAAGCACATGATGGTGTGTGGCAGTTTCTACTCACTCTACACAGTGTGCTTCTAAGAGCACCGTTACGTCTTCTAAATGCATGCAGGAAAGTCCCCTTCCATAAGGTAAAGCTAAAATTTGAGGGAAAGCCAACTTGTTGGGGTATTTTCTGTTATTTGCTGCTTGATATATCAAGTGTTCTGGCTGTTCTTGTTCTATGTAGCTGTTGAGTTACCTATACATTGCCGTGATGAAAAGTACTTCAATATAAAGGACAATTCAAGTTACCCGAGTTCGATACATAGCTGGGTTCGACTGTGTGCAGTATCCATGACAGTGTCTAATTGCTAGTGGCTTGGTTAGGCTTCGCATTGCTTGACCAGTCAGCAGCCAGAAAGCCCATTTTTCGCTATTCCTTTCTGCTGGTATTTTGCAGCTGTTTGACTATGAGCGGTTGGTAGACATTCTGCTGTACATAGTGTCTCAGTATGACCAAGACGAGTTTGTTCAGCGCATTGGCATCTACCTGCTCAACTCACTGGCCTGCCAAGTGGACGGGGGCCAGAAACGCCTTGTCGGAGACAAAGGAGCCATCAAGGTACTTTTCTTTACTTTACCAAATGAGTCATCTGTAAAAGTGGTAGCGAAGTGAAGGGCATGAACTTGGCCCACAGGAAAAATGTTGCAAAGTCAGGTCTTGTTATACATTAGAACCTGACTGTATATTATAATCCTGTGAATGTGTTCGCATGCGGTGAAATGCAGTAGTAGTTATCCTCTGAACCTCCTTGTAGAGTGGCCCCATACAGACCAACGTAAATGGACGTTTTGCTGTGTTTGGAGCCATGTTAGAATCCGGGAAAACCTTTAGAGTAAAGACAGCTAGGCAGGCTCAATACAGAAGGTTCACAGAACAAGAGAGTTTTTGTGAACAACTGGCAAAGGAATACACATATGTGCTTTAAAAACTGGGAACAAAAGTACCCTAAAGTCTTGTTCTTTGAAAGGCCAAGAAAGTGTGCAAACTGGCAACTTTAGGTATCGGTGATCACTGAACTTGAGGTTGCCCACAGGCTCGCATCGCATGTCATAGTGCATCTAAGGTCGATATCAGCTGCTTCACTATGTGATCAGTTTCTAGAAGTGTGATACCATCATTGAGCCAGCAGTGTATGTCATATAATGTGTTCAATTCGCTCAACTATTAGTGATCGCACTCCTGCACCAACTGCGCCAAAGTGTGCCAAATCAGATTTACTGCCTCATCCGGATAATATCAACGAAAATTGCGCCAAACTGCGCCAAACTGCGCCAAAGTCAGATTTGGGAGCGTCTATCAACCGCAATAGCCATACTGGCTCATCGAAACATCTGCATCTTGTTCTCGGGACCACGAAAGTCACAATTGCATGCCTAGAATTATTCCGCTGAATTAACAGCGGTTGTGCGCGAGTCCTAGGTTATTCACGATGCTATGTTTGGTGCTGACGCAACTTCTGTTGTGTAAGTCCGCTTAATGGTGAAACGCGCTCTCCGCAGAGGCTCGTGACGTCTAGTTTAGTCAGTGCGTGAAACTGTGGCGGTGATTTATCGGTGAACTTCTTGATATTGCGGTCTGATTTCTCGCACTTCGCATCCACAGAAGAATACGTGCACGATGGAAACGCGTTGACACTTTTCCTTTAATATACCTTATTCATGGAGCAGCCGGAATTCACTTTTAATGCACACAGCTTTCAATAGGGAGGCTATCGCTGACAGCTCTGGGTCAAAAGGCCCACGGTGAAGCGGCTACGCCTTGTTACAAGTTTGCCTCTCGCTTTCCAAGTTCAATAGCTGACAGTTAAAAAAATAAACATTTCGATGTCGCATTCATTGCTTTGTTTTTTTCGGGGTGGGGGTGGCTATGGGGGGGTGAGAGTGGGGCGTAAGCTGCGTCGCTTAAAGGGCGTATTTGCGAGCATGCTATCTCGAGGCCTATTGAGACATGCTCGTAAACTTTCTATGCTACTATAACCTCTGCTTCTTGTTTTGATAACTGGCAGTGCAAGAACCGCTTCGGCAATCGGAGTGATCATTGTCCCTTTAGCCAGCGTTCATATCAGTTATTCGCCCCCGTGTCCAAAAGATACTATTAGTTAGTTTCACTTAGGCTCTTAGCAATGAATGTGATACCAACAGTCCGTTCGTATCGGGAGTACAAGATAGAAGGGTATAACAGTTGTCTTTTACACCTGCCAAATTAGCATTAGTGCCAGTGATTACACCCAAAGTTTACCACAATGTCCCCCTCCCCACTTCTGTGCCTAGTTACTTCCTGCTTTTTGAAGATGGGTGGCGCGTTTCCCTTTGCTTTAGTAACAATCGATAGCAGGCCTGGCACACGGAGTGATGCTATCGCATCTACACTGTGTGCAGAGGAGGTAGCTCTGCTCTTTCATTGCGATAGTAACTATATGTACAGTCTCGGCTGTTTTTATGCCGTCGCCGCCATCACTGGCATTCATTGTATATGTATATGTATCTATATATATAGAAACTCAAGAACGAAAAAAAAAAGGCCGCCCGCGATCGGCGCCCAGCTCGTCACGATGTGCCAATGCGCACTTATCTCCCACGTGTACTCTGCTCCCGCGAATCAGGCGGGGGTTAGATGCGTGTGCATGCATGCTTACCCTTCGAGGCGGTAGATTGTGAGCCTTCGGATTTCATCGGAACGATTGCGTTAGTTGCCGGGCCCAACACAAAGGTCACTTCGCTGGCTGCACAGGCCTGTTTGCGAAAAGAGTGTGCTTTTCATACACTTGTTAGTTTGCATTTATTTGTACTTATTACTACATTTTGTGCATCATTTTTGTGTAACCAGCGCGTTAAGTGTCAAGCGGTAAACGTTGTTAGTTCACTCTCGTCCTGTGTATGTTCTTTTTGTGCATCATTTGTGCGTGAGTAACACACTGCACGTTTCGATCTGCTTGCCGTTCTCAGCATGACATTCCAAGTTATTGCTATTGCATTCATTGGTTCGCCTTTGTGGCGAAACTGTGACTGATTTATCTCTGCTTTAGCTGAATTCGCCACCCCGGCTCGCACACTTTTGCCTGCTTGTAAAACACACGATGCGTGGGGGGATGTTATCGTTTGGTATATTACACAAAACATGACGGCGACGACCAGTGGAATAGCCAGGTGGGGGGGCACATTGAGAACGTACCCCCCAAAATATTTTTTTGCCATGGCATAAATATAGCTCAATATTACCATTTGCATGCCTCCCCTCTTCAGATCAAGGTGCACTCCCCCCCAAAAAAATTTTTTAAAAGTTTACCTACGCCCTTGGTGATGGCAAAGACCGGTCGAGAATTTCCTTGTAATGGCTATCGCATTAAAAACGAAATCGCTCTCGCCTTCTGGTTGTCGTAGGCGTATGCGTAAGGTATCCTGTGAGGTTTTTTTTTCTTTATGCACCCATTTCTAGAGGACACTATAGGGGGGGAGGGGGGTTCGGAGTATAGGCAGAATGCTCTAGCCACTTAAAACATTGCTGCAAAAGGAAGACGAAGTTTGTTAAATCTTGTAGTTTCAGCACAGAGATACGAGTGCTGGAGGAGGTTGGTTTTATGAGACTAGCTAAATGACGTCATGTTAAGCCCAGCAGTATAATCGGTTGTGGAGAATAAGAACCTTTCTCTATCCTTGGAGTTGTCTAAGGGAAATGCAGTTGTGACTATGTGTGTCTATAGTATTGTACGTCATAACGTTTTTCTACCATGTATATTGATAACCACATAGGTGTAGAGAATGTTATTTCATGAAGTACAATTTTATTCTCCGGTATTATGTTTATTTGCTACGAAAGTAATCACTGAGCAAGTTTTTTCAGAATGGCCAACACAATGATGCCATTATTTGTGCCTCATCAACTAAAATAGGGAGTATCTCTAACATGTCTGGCTTCATGAGGATTAGCAGTGGATGGATGAACAACTTTTATTGGGGTCCTGAAGGATTCCACCCCCGTTTTATAGGGGTACGATCGCGGCCCGCTCCCACGTTGGGACGGGGAGGCCCAGTCTCACCGCCGCATCGTGGGCCTTCTGGACAGCCTTGAGTTGTTGTATGAGAACCGGACTCGTGAGCATTAAATGAAAGGAGTTCTCAGAAAATTCTTCATTTTTTCTTTGTAAAGAGGGGCACTTCCAGAGCATGTGGTTAAAATCACTGCGATTCTGGCAGTCTGGACAAAGTTCTGAAATATCGGAGTGATGGCTATAGGTTACGAGGCTAGGGTATGTTCCCGTCTGAAGCATGCGAAGAGAGATTGCCTGTGGCCTAGACAACTTTTCGTGTGGCAATGGAATTGACCTACGGCCTAATTGATAATGCTTCGTGATCTCGTTGAAGGTAGTCAAAATGTCCCTAAAATGAAGGCTGGTGGCTGACTCCTCTGTCTGAGAAGCACAAGTCCCGGCGCGGTAAGTGAAGCCTCGCGCCTTGGAGTGGGCTAGCTCGTTGACATTGGGAAGGCCTCCAACCCTCAAGCCAAGGTGAGCAGGGAACCAAATAATTGTGTGGTGGGTGAGTTCCTTGTGAGCGAGAATTCTCAAAACTTCCTTGCAAATGGAATCAGAAGCGAAGGCCCTAGCAGCGGATTTAGAGTCCGTATAAATATCAGTCCTTTGTGGATCAAGGAGTGCTAGTGCAATGGCCATTTGTTCTGCTTTATAAGAAGAAGGGGTTCAAACCAACGCCGAGGATAAAATCTGATCCTTAGTATCTACGGATACTACCGCAGAGTGAGCGGAAACGCCATACTGGGCGGCATCAACAAAACATGAAACAGACGATTGTTTGTGAGCTTGAGCTAAAAGAGAGAAGGCTCGAGCGACACGCCTGCCCGCGTTGTACTGTGGATGCATATTCGTGGAAGGGGGCATACTTTGATGCGAGAGTGTATACAATCATCGAGTGGCGTATTTTGCAATGAATCGAAATAATTCTAGCTTTTCACAGGAGACAAGAGCCCCAAAATAATTATTCATTCCCTTGAACATAAATGCAACTTGCTTCTCCTCCAGGATGTTAAGTTAGCTGCTCCAGATTGCTCCAAAATGGAAAATTTTGCTGCCTCAAAGGGCTCCAAAATGAAAATTTTGCTGCTGCATTATGCTCCAAAATATAAACTTTTGCTTCTCCAAAGTGCTCCAAAATGAAAATTTTGCTGCTCCAAGAAATGCTCCATATCAGAAGACCATGGTGGCATCACTGAACTATGTAAGTCACTAAAACAGTTCTGCAATATATAGCTTGACAAGTTTACACACATGTGGAGACATTTTCAAGATTTTTTCTGTTATTAGCGAGGATGTAGCCAGTTTGGCAGTTGTAAAAATTTTTGGCATAAAATACGTGCTCTTTTAGAAAAGAAAATTTGTGTTTTGGAGCAGTTACAGTAAAATTTCGGTATAACAAACTTGAGGAGATTACGGCAATTGGTTAGTTATTTTCAAAGGTCCTTAATTGTGGAAGCCCAGAAATTAACCATAAATACTTATTTCCCACCGACCAAAACGACTTACCTTTACAGCGGTGGTTGATTGA